AGTTCTCTACTCAAATGTCATCTTCTATTTCCACTTTTTGTAGTGACAAATGGCCTTATTTCAGATTAATCCATAAAAGATAATAAACTTTGGTAAAAGATCTGTATGCTACAAACTATAGAAAGCTTATGAAAGAAATGGAAGAAGTCACAAAGAAATGGAAAATGCTCATGGACTAGAAGAACAAATATTGTTAAAATGTCAATGCTACCCAAAGCAATCTACACATTCAATGCAATCCCAATAAAAATGGCACCAGCATTCTTCACAGTGCTAGTACAAACAATCCTAAAATTTGTATGGAACCATGAAAGACCCCAAATAACCCAAGTAATGTTGAAAAAGAAAACCAAAGCTGGAGGCATCACAATTCTGGACTTTAGCCTGTATTAACAAAGCTGTAATCATCAAGACAGTATGGTATTGGCACAAAAACAGACACAAAGATCAATGAAATAGAATAGAGAACCCAGAAATGGACCCACAAATTTATGGCCAGCTAATCTTCAACAAAGCAGGAAAGAGTATCCAATGGAAAAAAGACAGTCTCTTTAGCAAATGGTGCTCGGAGAACTGGACAGCAACATGCAGAAGAATGAAACTTGACCACTTTTTTTTACACCATACACAAAAATAAATTCAAAATGGATGAAAGACCTAAATGTGAGACAGGAAACCATCAAAATCCTATAGGAGAAAACAGGTACCAACCTCTTTGACCTCGGCTGCAGCAACTTCTTACTTGACATGGCTCCAATGGCAGGAGAAATAAAAGCAAAAATTAAGTATTGGGATCTCATCAAGGTAAAAAGTTTCAGGGGTGCCTGGGCAGCTCAGTTGGTTAAGCGTCCAACTTTAGCTCAGGCCATGAACTCACGGTTCATGAGTTCGAGCCCCACATCAGGGTCTATGCTGACAGTTCGGAGCCTGGAGCCTGCTTCAGATTCTGTGTCTCCCTCTCTCTCTGCCCCTCCCCTGCTCACACTCTGTCTCCCAAAAAATAAGCATCAAAAATTAAAAAAAAAAAAGCTTCTGCCCAGCAAAGGAAACAATCAACAAAACTAAAAGGCAACTGACAGAATGGGAGAAGATATTTGCAAATGACATATTGGATAAAGGGTTAGTATCAAAAATCTGTAAAGAATTTACCAAACTCAACACCATAAAAACAAATAATCCAGTGACGAAATGGGCAGAAGACATGAATAGACACTTTTCCAAAGAACACATCCAAATGGCAAACAGACACAGGAAAAGATACTCAACATCACTCATCTTTAGAGAAATACAAATCAAAACCACACTGAGATACCACCTCACGCTGGTCAGAGTTAAAATTAGCAGTTAAAAACTGCTAAAATTAACGACTCAGGAAACAACAGATGTTGGTGAGCATGTGAAGAAAGGGGAACCTTTTTGTACTGTTGGTGGGAATGCAAACTGGTGCAGCCACTCTGGAAAACAATATGGAGGTTCCTCAAAAAATTAAAAATAGAATCACTCTATGACCCAGCAATTGCACTAGTAGGAATTTATCCAAAGGATACAGGAGTGCTGATTTGAAGGGGCACATGCACCCCAATGTTTATAGCAGCGCTATCAACAATAGCCAAATTATGGAAAGAGTCCAAATGACCATCAACTGATGAGTGGGGTAAAAAGATGTGGTATATATATATATATATATATATATATATATATATATACACACACACACACACACACACACACACACACACACAAGAGAATAGTACTCGGTGATGAAAAAGAATGAAATCTTGCCATTTGCAACAATGTGGATGAACTGGAGGGTATTATGCTAAGCGAAATAAGTCAGAAAAAGATATCATGATTTCACGCATATGTGGAATTTCAGAAACTTAACAGATGATCATAGGGGAAGGGTAGGAAAACTAAGATAAAAACAGAGAGGGAGGAAAACCATAAATAGGGAGAACAAACTGAGTGTTGATGGGGGTTTGGGGTGGGAGGGTGGGGAAAATGGGTGATGGACATTAAGGAGGGCACATGTTGGGATGAGCACTGGGTGTTATATGTTAAGTGATGAATCCCTGGAATCAACTCCTGAAGCTAAGAGTACACTGTATGTTAGCCAACTTGAAGATAAAATTAAAAATAAATACATAAATATTAATCCAAAATAAAAAGTTTTTTGGGTTTTAAAAAAAAAAAAAAGATAATCAACTCTGGACTATATATATTTTATACACACACACGCACACACACAATGTGAAAGCATTGGGGAACAACCAAAAACAGGCAAAAAAATTGAAGGGAAGTTGACCTTTGAAAAAAAGAAAAGTATACTGTGAGACATTAATTTTTATACAGGTTATCATGTAATGGAACTTTCCAGCCTCTGTGGTATGGGGTAGCTAAACTCAAATAGAGAGCCACAGTATTATTGTCCTGAGAAGTTGGAGGATGAAGTTTCAGGCTGTTTTAAAAACTCTTTAAAAATAAAGTTAAATTCCAGAAAGGAGGAGCTACAGAGAGGAGATTCAACATCTACTTATAAATTCTGTCCAAATCTTTGGCTGATGCCTGAACTTCACAAATTTATGTAAACTCCAAAAAGCCTATAGAAATCAATAGCTAGAAGATGTAAAGAATGAAGCAGATATTTCAGCTATTGCTGGATTTTAAATCCAGCCAGTGTAGCTGTTTTTAGGACAAAGACAACATTCTCCAGAAAATTATAACAAAATTCATAATCTCTACAACATATTCACAAGGTTCAGTATACAATCAAAATTAGTAAATAAGCAAAAATATAGGAAAGGTAAGAAAGAATCAAGAGAAAAAGTTATCAATAGAGAATGACTCTAAAATAGTTCAGATGTTGGGATTAAAAAATTGGGTATTTCTAAACTTATGCATGTGCATATGTATTAAAACATTAATAACATAAAACTTAACATTTTAACAATTTTACCTGTACAATTAAGTGGCATTAAGTATATTCATAGTGTTTTATAATCATCACTATTTCCAGAATTTTCTCATCTGAAACAGAACCAATGTACCCATTAAACAATAATTCTCCATTTCTTCCTCCTTTATTCCAGTAATCTCTATCATACTTCCTGTATGAATTTACCTAGTTACCTTATGTACATGGGAATCATACTTTTCCAAGGTTCAGTTACGTCGTAGTATGTATCCAAATTTCTTTTGCATGGCTGCATAATATTCCACTTTTTGTATATCCCACATTTTGTTTATCTGTTCATCTATTGCTGGACACTTGGATTGTTTCCATTTTTTGGCTATTCTGAATATGCCACTATGAACACTAGTGTACAAGGATCAGTTTGAACCCCTGCTTTCAATTCTTCTGGATATATACTTAGGTAGAGAAATGCAGAATCATATGGTAATTTTTTGAGGAACTGCTAAACTGTTTTCCTCAGCAGCTATACCATTTTACATTCCTGTTAAAAATGCACAAGGGTTCTAATTTCTGCACGTACTCATCAAACACAGGTTTTGTTATGTAGATAACACATGAACTTTGAAAACTATTTTTTAAAAAACAAGTCTACAAAAATTAGGTATGCTGGCAAAACTGGACTTAGCATAAAACCTACTAAAGAAGAGACTATGGGAGTGCCTGGGTGGCTCAGTCAGTTAAACGTTGAACTTCAGCTCAGGTCATGATCTCATGGTTTGTGTGTTCAGGCCCCACCTCTGTGCTGACAGCTCAGAGCCTGGAGCTGCTTCGGATTCTGTGTCTCCCTCTCTCTCTGCCCCTCCCCTGCTTGTGCTCCGTCTCTCAAAAATAAACACTTAAAAAAAGGAAAAAAAAAAAAAAAGGAATGAAGAAGAGACTCTGAAATGACAATACTCCTTTAGATACTTAAATTTTGGTAAATTGTTGTTTTCATGAAAATTGGTCCCTGCAATTTACAAATGTAAGTCAGTGTCAATCTTTAAAAGTAGCTAATAAAAGTCAAAAGTGATACGGTCATGTTTGTATATCACTACTTTAGTTTGAGGTTTTCTTTTGTGAAATCACCCTCGAACAAATATAGTTAATATTCAAGCATTCAATGCTAAAGTTCACTTTTAATAGCTCCTATTCTAATCTCCCTTTTAAAAAGGCACCAATGATTTTCTGTGCATTAGTTATATTGTGAGATGGCATAACAAAACATTTACCTTAAGGGGTGGTTCATATATTATTATAGATTATAGAGAATGAAATCCTTTTATAGGAACTATGTTTTTACTGTTCAGGGTCTAGACCGCTACCATTTCCAACCAAAATTAAGATAGGTCATATAAATCAAGGGTTATGAAAGGAATAAAATAATCTGTAGGTTAAGAGTGAAGCAATGTTACATAATTGTTTATGGCCATCTCAAGAAAATAAAAGGCTTTCTCATTCCAAAATGTTGTAATGATTACCTATGATATTAATGTTTGTCCTGGTTTTATGGAAACCTACAGGGCAAGAAAACTGGTCACAGAGTCAATTCTCAGGAAAATGTTATTTTCTCCATATTGACTCTAAATATATTACTAATTAGTTAGCTATGAATCCAACAAACCTGTTGCCAAATAATGCAAGATATATTGAGAGAAGGAATCATTAGTAGACCATAGTGCCCTAAAATAGTAAATAAAATCATACTTGATTTATCATACTCCCATCTGATTTTCAAAATTTTAATAATTAAATCTAAAACATAATTGGTAAAAAAATGAATCACAACTTTAGAAATGTTAAAATGTAAAAAAACCCATAAGATTGATCAAGTATGCTAATTTCATATTGTATAGTAAATAGGACTATCACTTCCAATTACTAATTTTCTGGAAATATTTTTGATAAAATAGCTCAGTGTCTGATAGGGCATATGGATCCATCCTAACATTTTTTTCTATGGGCACAGGCTTCCCCCAAGCCATAAGGTCTGAGAAATAACTACAAAAACACCATTAAGACAAGCCATCCATATTGTCACTGCGAATCATTAATTTTTAAGATTTATATGCTCTCGATCTTTATTAAGGTGTAAAAATTACAAATAAAGCTAAAAGTCCCCTTTGATCAATACCCTGCCAGAGAAAATACTAATAATAATTTGGTATGTACCCTTCTAGTCCATTTTACATACATACATATTTCAATAATAATAAAAACATAGTTCTGTTCTTTATGATTTAATTCCAATTTATATGAATGTCATTACACAATGTTTCATTTGAGGATTTTGATTTTTTTTCCACTCAACATTGTTTTACATAACTATCCATGTTACAAAATACAGATCTAGTCTATTGCTTTTAACTGCTGTATACTATTCCATTATTTGACTATATCACATTTTATTTATCCATTACCTCATCCATAATTTAGTGTATATATATATATATATATATATATGTATATATATATATTTACGCATATTTGTTTCTTTATGATGAATATATAGAAATGGAACTGCAGGGTCCTTTTGCCTTTTAAAAAAATGATTCGCTGCCTCAAAACCATAGACAACGTTCTGTATTTCCTCCCAAGAATTTCAGTTTGGCTTTTCACATTCCAGTGTTCAAATCCTTTGCAATTCTGTTTTCTTTATATATTGTAAGATTGCATGTAGTTTTATCTTCCCCAATATGGAGAACCAAATACTCCAACAAATTTTATTGGCTGTCATTTCTCTATTGATTCATGATGTCATTGTTATGTATAATATACACCAGGTTTGCATATATTCATTGACTTATTCCTAGGCATTCTATTCTGTAAAATCTGCTTATGTATTCATGCTCTGATACCACACACTATTTAATGACCATAACTTTTGTGTAATATATGGTAGAAGATGGGTCCTTGCTGTTCTTATTCAAAATCATCTCAGCAATCCAGGGACTTCCATTTCACATGAATTTTAGAATCATTTTGTAAAGATCCTAGAAAATTCTTGTTAGATGTTTGGTACTATATTAGGTCAATAGATTCATTTTGGAGAACTGACATTTTTATGATATTGAGTTTTTCCATCTCTATACATGGTATTTCTATTTATTCAAGTCTTATGCCCTCCAATAAAGTTTTATAATTTTTCCATAAAGATCTTGGTTGTTTTGAGTTTACACCAATGTATTTCAAAAGTTAAGTAAAGCATGAGTTGAATTTAAGAAAAGGCCTTCCCTCATTTAGTACACTCGGCGTTTCTCACCTGTATGACCTCTCTTATGGATAGAAAGGGATGCTCTTTGAGAGAATGCTTTCCCACATTCATTACATTCAAAGGGTTTCTCACCAGTATGACTTCTCATATGTATAATAAGTAATGAGCATTGAGAGAAGGCTTTTCCACATTTATTACATTCATAAGGTTTCTCTCCTGTATGACTTCTCACATGAAGAGTAAGGGATGAGATTCGAGAGAAGGCTTTACCACATTCATTACATTTAAATGGTTTCTCTCCAGTGTGAATTTTTTCATGTTCGAGGAGATTTTGTCTCTGACTGAAAGCTTTTCCACATTGATTACAATGATAAGGTTTTTCTCCAGTATGAATTTTCTCATGTTCAGTGAGATTTGATTTCTGACTAAAGGCTTTCCCACATACTGCACATGCGTAAGGTTTCTCACCAGTATGAATTCTCTGGTGTCTAATGAGGTTTGACATCTGAATAAAAGCTTTCCCACATTCATTACATTCATACGGTTTCTCTCCAGTGTGAATTTTCTGATGTGTAATGAGATTTTCTTTCCTGCTGAAGGCTTTTCCACACTCGTTACATTCATAGGGTTTTTCAGCTGTATGATTTCTCATATGTACAGTAAGGGATGAACTTTGAGAGAATGCTTTCCCACATTCACTACATACATAGGGTTTCTCACCTGTATGACTTCTCATATGTATAATAAACACTGAACATTGAGAGAAGGCTTTTCCACATTTATTACATTTATAGGGTTTTTCCCCTGTGTGACTTCTCATGTGTAGAGTAACAGATGACATTCGAGAAAAGGCTCTACCACATTCATTACATGCATAAGGTTTCTCCCCAGTATGAATTTTCTCGTGTTCAATAAGATTTTGCTTCTGGCTGAAGGATTTTCCGCATTCTTTACATTCATAGGGCTTTTCTCCAGTATGAATTCTCTCGTGTTCAATGAGATTTGATTTCTGACTGAAGGCCTTCCAACAATCCTTACATGCATAAGGTTTCTCCCCTGTATGAATTCTCTGGTGTCTAATAAGGTTTGACATCTGAATGAAAGCTTTTCCACATTCATTACATTTATATGGTTTCTCCCCAGTATGAATTTTTTGATGTGTAATAAGATTTTCCTTCCTGCTGAAGGCTTTTCCACATTCCTTACACTCGTAGGGTTTCTCTCCAGCATGAATTCTCTCATGTCTGATGAGGTCAAATCTATGACTGAAGTCTTGTCCACACTGATTACACTTAAAGGGGGTTAGAACATGGGGTGAGCAAGGGTAAAATGGCTTCCTGTATTTATTATATTCATAATTTTCCTCTCTTATACAGTCCTTATCATAACTAAGTAAGTCTAAATTATGTTCCAAATCTTTATCAAATGAGTCACATTCATAGAAGTTTGGTCTTGAAGTAATAATATCTGAGTTCAAAGGAAATATTTTTGTAACTTTTTTACATTCAATGACATTTTCCTTAATCAGAGTTTTCTTGGAGATGGATGTGACTTTCCTCACAAGTGCTTCCTGTTGCTTCTTGATCTGTTGTTCATCAACTTCCCAAACTTCTAAAATGGAGGACCAAAAATTATTACTTTTGAATTTTTCTGCTTTATACTATTAATAACATTTCAGAAATTTGCTACTACAGAGTTGGTCTTTGATATTGACTCTAGTCTCCCAATATGAAAGAAATCCAAAGTACAAATGTCCCTAGTTTTTAAGTTTTAAGCGGTTAACTCCGATAGAAAATATTATGGAGAGAAAACTGACACTGATAGGCCTAAGTAGCTTTGATGGATTTTAAAAGTGTGCTTATATAATGCAGAAATCAGTAACATGAACAGAATAATTAAGATGAAAGGGTGAATATATAAATGACTGGATAGGGAGTCAAAATGACCAGAGGATGAAAGTAAAACATGTGGTTAAACACAGTGGATTGAATATATATGTTTATTTCTCCCTTCTCCCTAAAAATCTATCAAAATGACAGTAAAAGAATTAAAGGTCAAACCCACAAGGAAAAAAAAAACGAGTATAAAGAAGGTAAACAAGAGATTTCAACAAAAGAATGGAAATGAAAGGCATATAGGGAACTGATAACTAATAGCAGGGCTAAGAAGTTAAAGTACTACTAAGATGTAAAAGTCAGGTAACAAAGTAATTTGGCCACAAAGCACTGGAAAAGAGAACAAATTAAAGGATTCAGGTACTCATAAAGCAGAGATAAGATGCCTGAAGAGGATTAACTTAAAGTCTTAGGGAGCAATTACACTCCCTGAGGCAAGTATTATGGATTTACTTAAGTAACATCTTTCCAACCTCATACTATGTTTCTCCGTCTTGCAGAGGGTGAGTTAGAACTACATTTCCTAGAAACACTTGCATATAGGGTTCTGAATATGATTTAAATTAATTATACAACATTTAAATTCAGAAATAAAAGAGTAATGAAAGTGGGCATTTTACCTATATTACAACAGAAGTGGTAGGGTTCTGAAGCTCATAGCTGTCAAGGCATTTTCCTTGTTCAATCAGAAGCATTCCTTCCTTCCTTCCTTCCTTCCTCCCTCCCTCCCTCCCTTCCTTCCTTCCCCCTTTTTTTTTTTAAAGTAAGCTTTACTCCTAATATGGAGCTCAAACTCACAACTCTGAGATCAAGAGTCACATGCTCCACTGACCGAACCAGCCAGGTGCCCCATGAAAAGCAATTTCTTGATCAAAGTGGGGAAAGGAACTCACTTAACAGCTGACTTCTCTGATAGGACTTTGAGACTCATTCCTAAAAGCTTATTCTGCGGCACCTGGGTGGTTCAGTCAATTAAGCTTCTGACTTCTGCTCAAGTCATGACCTCACTGTTCATGAGTTTGAGCCCTGCAAGGGGCTCTGTGCTGACAGCTCAGAGCCTGAGTCTGCTTTGGATTCTGTGTCTCCCTCTCTTTCTGCCCCTCCCCCACTTATACTCTGTCTCTCAAAAATAATAAAAACATTAAAAAAATTGTTTTTTAAAAAAGCCTATCCTATAGTTGGTCCTTTAGTCCTCCTAAAGGTTCTCTAGGACATTTAATACCTTCATGTAAATTCCTTCCTTCTTAAATTAGCTACTAATGAGCTCTTTTCTCTGTAACTGAACTGTGACCAATATCCTCCCACCTCCTACCCACCCCACACAGGAAGTGGTCATATATCCACCACTTGATCAGGAAAAGGAAGGCTTACTTTTCCTAGAGAAAATGAATTATACAGGCTCTAGACTTAGGAAAGAGTAAAGCAGATGCAAAGGAAGCCTCATACTAAAAAACTACGAATAATGTAAACTTGCATATGTTGAATGGTAAGATCTCCAATCCTTTTTCTTAAAAAAAACAAAAAAAAAAAATAGGGGAGCCTGGGTGGCTCAGTCGGTTAAGCGTCCGACTTCAGCTCAGGTCACGATCTCGCAGTCCGCGAGTTCGAGCCCCGCGTCGGGCTCTGGGCTGATGGCTCAGAGCCTGGATCCTGGTTACGATTCTGTGTTTCCCTCTCTCTATGCCCCTCCCCCGTTCATGCTGTGTCTCTCTCTGTTTCAAAAATAAATAAACGTTAAAAAAAAAAATTAAAAAATATATATATATTACATATATATAATGTATACTTATATATTATATATACAAATATATATAATAAAAATATATAATACCTATATAAATATAACATATCATATATTACATATATAAGTATGTCATATATATGCATATATATAAAATAAAGTTTATTTATTTTTGAGAGAGCACAAGCAGGGCAGGGGCAGAGAAAGAGGGAGACACAGAATCTGAAGCAAGCTTCAGCCTCTGAGCTGTCAGCACAAAGCCTGACATGGGGATCAAACCCACGAACCATGAGATCATGACCTGAGCTGAAGTCAGGCACTTTAATGACTGAGACACCTAGGCGCCCCTCCAATCCTTTTCTGTTGCTTGTCCCTCATGAATGCTGGCATCTACCTCCAGGTAGCAGATAAGATTAAAAATAAAAGACCCACACAACTGGAATTCTACAATTGCCATTTGGAACTCCACAAAAAACTCCTAGGTTCTAATCCAACAGTCTCCTACTCAAAAAGCATCAAAAATTTGTTAGCTACAAGAATTTTTGGAATTTCCTTTTTATCCTTTGATGCATCAAAATAAGAAAAACTAATGACACTGATTGATTCCCTACTTAAACAAGGATTTGAGAGTCTCATTAAAACATATATATAATATATAGAAAAAAATATATAGAAAATATATAGAAAACAAAGCAAACAGAAAAATTGGGCAAATAGTAACCCTAGGAATGACAGCAATTTATATAAGAATATGTACTTAATAGTCATTTCTTGGCTCAGTAGTAACAATATATCACCTAAAAGAACAAAGTATGCAGTGAAAATCAAGTTAGCCAAAAATTGTGATATATCTATATCCAGAGAAAAAGGAAAGGGGAAGTGGTAGTGGTGGTGCAAGAGTACTAAACCTCATCTTTCATTAATATCAAGTTGATAATAATTGGAAATTACCAAATAGCAGCATATTCAGAAAAGACTAGATTCCACCCTATCCCTGAAACACTGATTCCTCCCTTGCCTGACAGGTAAGCATTTTTATTAGTTTTGAGGTTATTCCTATATTCTTTTAATTTATACATATACTAAACATATATGTATATACACATACATACATGTAACACATATCTAACACACGTGCCTCTGCCACTCTTTTTTATAAAAAAAGTAGCATATTCTAAATGCTGTTCTGCACATTGATTTCTTTTCACTTATATATCCTGAATAGAAAGAAGCATGACATCTCTGATTTGTTTTATAGCTTTGACACTGGAATCATGTAAATTTTTACATAATTAAAAAAAATTAAATCTAAAAAAAGAGGAAAAAAATAACTCTTAAAAATTGAAAACAAACGGGGCGCCTGGGTGGCGCAGTCGGTTGAGTGTCCGACTTCAACCAGGTCACGATCTCGGGGTCCGTGAGCTCGAGCCCTGCGTCGGGCTCTGGGCTGATGGCTCAGAGCCTGGAGCCTGTTTCCGATTCTGTGTCTCCCTCTCTCTCTGCCCCTCCCCCGTTCATGCTCTGTCTCTCTCTGTCCCAAAAATAAATAAACGTTGAAAAAAAAAAATTAAAAAAAAAAAATTGAAAACAAATGGAAACAAGTAAACCTACATATCAAGTTAGGGCCACTTAGTCCCTTTAAAGTGACTTTTTAAACACAGTAGTTTGACTATATCATAAACGAGAAAAAAATACAACCAAAGAAGTCTTAAACTACATTTAGTAGTCTTTTAATCATTAGTAATAATGGTATTATTGTTAATATATATTGTATATATATTATATACAATATATATAATATGTAATATATGTAATATGCAATATGCAATATATATTGTTCTATATATATATATTAGATCAGTTCGGGGCCTCAAGAGACATTTGGCAGTATCTGGAAGGTCTGGAGACATTTTTGGCTGTCATGACTGGGGGAGTGGTGAGAAAGGGGATTGGTGCTCCTAGCACCTAATAAGTAGAGGGCCACAGAGGGTGCTAAACATTCTACACCCTACATAAACATCCTACAATGTATAGGATAGTCCCCCACAGCAAAGAATTATCTAGCCAAAATGTCAGCAGTACCAAGGTTGAGAAATATATATGGATTAAGCAAATAAATATTTTAATGCAATAAAGAGCCAATATTTTCAGTATAAAAGATACAAAAACGAAACAAAAAAGCTAAGTAACAACCCTATACTCCTTAATTTGAATTGGATGTATCAGTATGAACACATACATTTTTTTCTATCTAAAAAGTGTATTTTTCCTGGCTTTGTCCAGCTCTAGAAGCAATGAGCAAGCACTGTGCCCGGATTTTGGTCTCCAAATCATTTCCCACTAAAGGAAGCTGGCATTTATAGAGAAATTGCTATTTCAACATCTGGAGCAGGAAATGTATAAAATTAGCCAAAGGGGGGGCACCTGGGTGGCTCAGTTGGTTAAATGTCTGACTTCAGCTAAGTCATGATCTCATGATTCATGAGTTAGAGCCCTGCATCAAGCTATGCACTGTCAGTGTGGAGCCTGCTTGGGATTCTCTCACCCTCTCTCTCTCCCCCTCAGAAAATACACTTAAAGAAAAAAAAAATCTTGGAAAATGTGAAATGGTGTCAACCCCATGAACAATTGTTGTGTGGCTTTCTCATTCAGAGCTGCTTTTTTGCTTACTCACCTGGACAGTGCCTCCCAAGCATTTCTTCCTCTATCACCCATGGCTCCTCTTCCTGTTCCAACTTGAAGATCACATCTGGTTTGGTGACTTGATAACCTATTACAGGAAATAGCAAAGGACTTGCGTGTTAATGCTGGAGACAACTATCCACACCTTGGGCTGAGTCTTAGGGGCTTGAGGGTCTGTGAAGGATAAGGAGAAAGGAATTTCCACAGTGAGACAAAGTAATTAGGCTTCACCCTGCAGATGAATACATACAATCATGTGAAGAAAAGGCAAGTTAAAATCTTCATACATTTCAAAAATGGGAAGGAATTCTATGTAAAATTGCAAAGCTACCCTTACCTACTGTGACTAGGTTGCTGTAGTTCTCTAGCATCACATCCCGGTACAAGTTCCTCTGAGCAGGTTTCAGCTGCTGCCATTCCTCCTGGGTGAGGTCCACAGCCACATCCTTAAACGTCACGGTTTCCTGTAAATGCACAATCCTAATTAATATGAAGTCATCAAAATTAGATGCAGTGGTCAAAATATGTAAGAACTCATGTAGCTAGTATCCAGGGATCAGAGTTCATTACAAACTGTATCTTAAGGCTTCATATTTACCTAATTTTGTATTACACTGTGAGGGGAAAAAAAACCCACAGTAGAAATATCCTGTAAGGTGTTAATTATTGAGTCAGCAAACTTAAGCATTCATTATCTATTATGCATGAAACTGAAGATGGTGGTCACAGATTTGTACTGAATCTGTGACAGAATTGAAAGAATTACACATGACTTACAGGTAACTATCTTAGAACCTGTCCAAGTGATTGTGTGATCTAGTGAGAAAAGGAACATGGAGAAAGTGGGGACAGAAGAGAAATAAGGCAGGAGGGATGAGCAGAGGTATGAAAATTTGAAGGTGCAAAATTTGAAATGTCTATAGAACTTCCAGATGGAAAGGTCTACTATGCAGTTAGAGGTATGACAAAACATGAGAATTAGCCATCAACCTAAAATTGAGAGCTGAATCCATGGCTGAAGGATAGGAACAGTTGTAGAGAACGTAGAGAACATACATAGTGGGTAAAGGGCCAAGGACAGAATCAACAGTTAAGCATCAAAGGGACTCAGGTTTGTGTTTCTTGTTTTATTGTTCTTTTTTTTTTTTAATTTTTTTTTCAACGTTTATTTATTTTTGGGACAGAGAGAGACAGAGCATGAACGGGGGAGGGGCAGAGAGAGAGGGAGACACAGAATCGGAAACAGGCTCCAGGCTCTGAGCCATCAGCCCAGAGCCTGACGCGGGGCTCGAACTCACGGACGGCGAGATCGTGACCTGGCCGAAGTCGGACGCTCAACCGACTGCGCCACCCAGGCGCCCCTCTTGTTTTATTGTTTTTAAAAAAAGTTTATTTATGTTTAGAGGAAGAGAGAGCGAGCATGTGCATGAGTGGGGAGGGGCAGAGATAGAGGGAGAGTGAGGATCCAAAGTGGGTTCTGTACTGACAGCAGGGAGCCCAATGTGGGGCCTGAACTCATGAACTGTGAGATCATGACCTGAGCCGAAGTCGGATGCTTAACTAACTGACCCACCAAGGCGACCCTGTTTCTTGTTTGTTTTATTTACAATCAGCGGATGAGAATTAAAACCATGACTGTGATGTAAAAGAAGCCAAGAAACAAATGACAAATTTCTGGAAAAGAATGTTACTTGATTACATATATCTAACTCTTCCTCCTTATTTAAAAACTTCAAAATTCAAATAAGGAAATAAGGAAAAATAATTTATCTGCAAAGACTCTGAGAACAAAAAGCACACATATCCCACATTTGGGAAAATTTATTCAAGAAATAGTACAAATGAGATAGACAAAATGGGAAATAGAAAAGAAAATCACCAAAGGCTAGATTGTGATGTTTCTAAGAAACTGTCTCTATGATCTATGATCATTACTACCATCAACATTATCATCGCTGTCAACTATTGAGTAGTTATTATTTGCCAGGTACTATAATAACTTCTTTAGCTATATTAACTTTTAAATTCCCCTTATAAGGCTACTATGTAGTGGCTACTATTATTATCCATTTAAAAAATAAGGAGGGGCGCCTGGCTGGCTCAGTCAGTAGAGCATGCAACTCTTGATCTAAGGGTTGTAAATTCAAGCCCCATGTATGGGAGAGAAACAGATTATACGCCCCTGCAGTGGGGAGGGCACTACAGTAATGGAGAAGGGAGAGAGACAAGACTAGCACACAGGGGAGCACATGGGGAAAATGAATCACCCACAGCAATTGGCTTGGGAAGTTAAAGGGCCCAAATTTCATGAGTTCTTGCAACCACAGGGCTTGAAGCCTATACTTTTATTTTTTAATGTTTATTTATTTTTGAGAGAGAAAGAGAATGAGAGGGAGAGAGAGAGAGAAAGAGAGAGAGAGAGAGAGAGAATGAGTGGGGGAGGGGCAGAGAGAGAGGGACACACAGAATCCGAAGCAAGCTCCAGGCTCCCAGCTGTCAGCACAGAGCCCGATGCGGTGCCCAAACAAATGAGCCATGAGATTATGACCTGAGCTGAAATCGGACACACAACCAACTGAGCCACCCAGGCGCCCCAAAGCCTAGACTTTTAAAGGTTCGTGAGCTTGGCCCTGCGAGAGCTTGGAGGACATTGGAGCTATTATTGGAGAAAAGGCAGGGCAAACATCCCACTGACATACGGTGTGGAAATAGCGATTTGAAGAGTGCCTGGGGCACACAGTGGGGAGGTTAGTTGCTCATCTTGGAGTGTGTCACAGAAAGGCAGTGTTCATGGAGAGACCCACCTGGGAACAAAGGAACTAGCTGACACCATCTCCCTCCAGCACCCATCAGCATAAGCACAGGGCCACCTGCAGAAACTGTTAGAGTGCCCACACTCAATACCTAACTTGTGTACACCAAGTTTTCCCTTTGTTGTTCCAGAAGAAATGCCCCTCCCAGTTACACTTGCCTCAGTCCCAGTTTGGGAGGTCTTTCCCCCACAGAACACCAGCTCAAATCCCTGCCAACACTGTATTTCCTGACCTGGAAGTACTATGAGGCCTTGGTTCCCATGGCAGTGGCAACAGGTCTCATTTCACAAACAGACCAGAGCACACCCAGTTAAAATGCACCACATTCAGGCCAGGGCCCAAACGCTGCCCATAACAGGCAAAGAGAGCCTCTGCAGACAACTTGCCTGAAAGATAAAGCAGCTTGGACACAACAGCAGAGCTAAGCAGCACACATTGGAGATACTCCTAGAAGCAACAGGCGTCAGGAAACAGGGGACTCTATATAGCAGGGCACTACAGGACCTCTTCTTCATAAAGCCATTACCCTCAAGAACAAGAGATGTAGTTGACCCTTCTACCACACAGCAACAGGCACAGAGACTTGAGAGAAGAGAAGAGAAGAGAAGAGAAGAGAAGAGAAGAGAAGAGAAGAGAAGAGAAGAGAAGAGAA